GATAAATTACTACTATTACTGTTACTACTATAAGTATCAAAAAGTTTTCCAACAGCAAGAACCAGCAACAATTATATTAATCTACTTTTCCATAGCACAATATCCACCAACTGCAGAAGCATCGGAACCGAAACTCCTCACAGCTCTACAACTATTACTTCTTCTACTATCTCCATCTCACCGTAGTTTCCTACAACGGTTGCTGACTCTTTTGCGATTGGTGGCAGATAACGAAGCGTCCAACAGAATGTCGCCAGACACTTTAGCCACAATGTTCACTCCACATTTACTTTGTCCTAGGAAGGTGAGTTTTACTAATAAATCATTACATTAGTGCTTATAAAAAAAAATATATTCACTTGCGTTGTACACTTTTTTGAAAGTACATTGAGCGGAACAAATAAAAGTGAGAATATAGAATAATAACATTTACATTTCAATCAAAAAGATTGGACAAAGCAATTAAATTAACATGTTTTAACATTCACATATTAAATTTTTATTGAAAAAAAAAAATTATGGAACAAAATGCATTTCTATTTAGATTTTGAGACGAAAATTTAAAGTTTTGTAAGATTGATTAATCATCATCAAAGGAAATCAAAGTTTAAATTTTACAAAACTTACAGGAATGCAGAATCAGTCTCGAACTACTCAACCTAATCCCCCCACCGCGTTTATTATTGAGTTCGCTAACATCCGCGGACTCCACTCCAACCTCAAAGCTGTCCACCATCACCTCGAGACAGCCCGGCCTGCCCTGCTTTTCCTGACGGAGACGCAGATTCGCCGTCCGAATGATATGAGTTACTTGAACTACCCCGGCTACTCGCTTGAGGAAAACTTTCAGGCCAAAGCCGGGGTATGTGTATATATTCGTTCGGATGTGTGCTGTCGCCGTCTGCGCTGCCTGGAGAAACCCTCCTTTTCCACTATGTGGGTGCTCGTAGAATCTAGTTGTTCAGCTAGAGTCTTCGCGTGCTTATATAGATCCCACAGCGGGGATGCGGAGACAACTAGGCTCTTTGACCAACTGAGCCAGGCGACTCTTGACGCGCAGGCGCAGTTCCCATCTGCGGAGATGGTCGTGTTGGGGGACTTTAATGCTCACCATGAATCATGGTTAAGTTCCCTCAAGACTGACCATGCAGGAAGAACTGCCCACGCTTTCGCTCTCACGCATGACTTGACCCAACTGGTAACCCAGCCCACCCGGGTTCCAGACATATCGGATCGTGCACCCTCTTTGCTTGACCTTCTGCTCGCGAATCACCCTACCTACTATACAGTATCAGTCAGCGCCCCTCTGGGAAGTTCTGATCACTGTTTGGTTGGGTGTAAGGTTTCCCAAATGCCTCCAACTAAGCTGAAGGAGGTCACTCGTCGCATTTGGCACTACTCGTCGGCGGATTGGGATGGTATGCGCGACTACTTTGCGTCCATCCCTTGGTTGCAGCACTGCTTTACGGGTTTCGGCCGAACCGATCAACGGGTGACGTTCTAGCGTATCTAATGCATCTCTGGGGTGAAGCTATCGACAAACAGGGCGAAACCTTAGCGATAAGTCTGGATATTGCTAAGGCCTTTGATCGGGTCTGGCACCGTGGTCTCCTCTCCAAGCTTCCGGCATATGGTCTTCCCGGCCGCCTTTGTGAGTGGATCTCCGGCTTTCTGCGCGAGCGAAGATTGCGTGTCCTTGTTGACGGAGGCACTTCGCGGCTCGTGACAGTTAATGCTGGGGTGCCACAGGGCTCCGTGCTGTCGCCCACGCTGTTCCTTCTGCATATCAATGACTTGTTGCCTTTTGGCAACATTCATTGCTATGCAGATGATAGCACAGTGCACGGTTGCTATTATAAGCAACCGTCAAGCGGCCGGGAGGACCCTGAGAGAAACCGGGAAAAACTTGTCGCTGAGCTCGACCATGTTTTGGAACATATATCGTCGTGGGGCTCCCGAAACTTGGTTGAGTTCAACGCCAAGAAAACCCAGGTATGCACGTTCAGTTCCAAAAAATCCCCATTCCTTCCACTTCCCCATCTTCAGGGTACAACGCTGACGCTGCAGGACAAGCTCAGCTTGCTGGGGATGAGCATCCGGTAGGACATGAGCAATAAAGAGTATATAGAGAGCGTCATCTGTACCGCGTCGCGCAAGCTTGGCATCCTGAACAAGGTGCACCGATTTTTTACTCCAGAGCTGCGATACCTGTTGTATAAAGCTCAGGTCCGAAGCAGCATTGAGTACTGTTCGCACCTTTGGGACGGCTCTGCCAAGTACTTGCTCGATGCCCTAGATGGACTGCAGCGCTACGCCTTCCGTGTTGTCAACGATCCTCATGTAACTGAGCATGCGGAGTCGTTACAGCTTCGCAGAGATATAGCGTCTCTTAGCGTATTCTATCGCCTGTACCACGGTGAGTGCTCTGAAGAGTTATTC